CGGGGAGGAGGGGGCTTTGCACCCAAAGGTGTGGGGGATGCTGACCCAGTGGCACTGTCCATGGCCAGCCCTTCTGCAGGTCTCCAGCTGCTTGCAAATGTAGCCCCCAAAGTGACCTGGAAAAGGGCTGTCTTGTCCCCTCTGGGGGGTGGCTGGGTTGCTCTGTGCCTCAGTTTCCCCCATGGCATGTTGACAGGGAGCTGGTGCTGCCTGTTCCCTGGCTGAAGCAGCTGCCATGTAGCCTGGAGCTGAGGGAAGGGGGCCTAGGGATGGTGCAGCACTGGGTCCCCAAGCAGGCTGGGGCCAGATCTGCCCATGGCTCCTGCCCTGGCAGCACTGATGCCTCCAGCCCTGCTGGGACATCCCCAGTTCCTGATGATGGGGTCCCCTGGGGCAGATCCTCTTTTGCACGCTGAACACACACAAAGTGGACATGCAGAAGCTGCTGGGGGGGCAGATCGGCCTGGAGGATTTCATCTTTGCCCACGTGCGGGGTGAGACAAAGGAGGTGGAGGTGACCAAGACAGAGGATGCCCTTGGCCTCACCATCACAGACAACGGGGCTGGCTACGCTTTCATCAAGGTGAACCCCCCCTCTGTGGGGCTGGGGGCAACCTGGGCATTGTGGTCCTGCAGGGTGACATCCCCTGCTGACGTCCCATCTCATGCTCCTGCCCTGATTCCTTCCCATCAGTGTTACCCCTCCTGGGTCCACCCTGGCTTTGGAGGTGTCTCAGCCATGGTGCACTTTGCGGGGGGGGCCCTCCCTGCCTGACTCAGTTGCTGAAGGATGTGGGACCACAAAGGTGTTTTTTGCATGGGGGTGGGATGTCTGTCCATCCTTCCTGTGGTGCCACCTCGTCGCTGTGTCTCCCTGTCCCTCTCCACGGTCCCCAGAGAATCAAGGAGGGCAGCATCATCAACCGGCTCCAGACGGTGTGTGTGGGTGACAGCATCGAGGCCATCAATGACCAGACCATCGTGGGCTGCAGGCACTACGAGGTGGCCCGAATGCTGCGAGAGCTGCCCCGGGCTCAGCCCTTCACCCTCCGCCTGGTGCAGCCCAAAAAGGCCTTCGGTGAGACAGAGGGTCCCCCTGAGGGGACCCCTGGGAGGAGTGTGGGGAGACAGGTACCCTGTGACCCACCTGCCCTGCAGCCCCCTCCCCAGGGACTGGGTGCCACCCAGCCTCTACCCCTCCTGTGTGTACCCTGCAGGCCTGGAACACCCCTGCACGGCCCCCTCGGTGATCCCCCCCCACCGGCTTGTGCTCCCCATGGGCATCCCCTGTGCTGGGCACCCATAAGCACCTTGTCACAACGTGTCCCCACCCTGCACCGAGGGGCGGCTGCTCATGAGCTCCCTCATCATCATGCACCGTTCACCCTGGGGTCCCCCTCAGGGTGCAGGGTGGTGGGCAGCAGGGGTCGGGGGACTCCAGGCGCTGCCTGTGCCCTCACACCCCCCCACACCCCTTTGGGGAGCAGACATGATCGGGCAGAGGACGCGGAGCAGCAAGTGCCCTGGCGAGGGCAGAGTGACCAGCGGGAAGGAGACGCT